ATAAGATGCTCTGACTCACAAATTAAGAAATACAATCATTAGCTTAATTAAACAGTATCAGAAAGAATACTACTAGAGATCAGGCCTGGGTAATAGGGAAGTATACAAATGCCTTTAGAGCACTCAAGCTTTTCCCACCTCAAGACAAGAATTCTGAATATTAATTACGCCTTAAATAAAGTATTTACTCACTGATTAACAGGACTTGAATGCACATTCTCCAGTGCATTGCTGACAGAAAGATATATTAAGACACTTCCATTCTCTACAGCTACTGCAACACTAATCATTTGTTCTCCTTTCAGTGTCTCAGTCCCTTTATCAGCCTTTCTTAATCCCCACTCATATACAACTTCTACTCCTTGCTCCACCACCCAGCTTATTTCAAGCAAGGCCTTTCACTCTTTTCCCCCACCAGGAGAGAATTTTGCAGATGCTAGCAGCAAATTCTCTGTGCTCTCAAAGCTTTTCCTCTCATGACATCGCCACAAAAACACCCAACCTGCTCTAACAAGTCAGTGGCTGAGCACTGATGACACGACCATGCTGACTAATATTATCCAGCTGCCTTTTGCACCACATTCCTTCAGCAGAGTAATCCACAGTCTCTTTGCACACTGCAGCTGTATCTAAGGAAGAAGTGAGTGTTCTCTGACTTATTCTCCTATATCTGACACACCCAATGTGAAGGTGGCTTAATGCAATTTGATAGCCTCCTGTAAGGTAGTCAAAATTTTAAATCAAATACATATAAAATGAGATTCACAACAGTAAAACATGCAAGGGAAAAGATCTAAAGATTTACATTTATACAGCTTCTCTATAAAGTTTTAATACATTAAATCACTTTTCTAAGAAAGGCAGCATGAGTAAATGTAAGCTAAAACCACCAGATATTACTTCTTTTTTTTTCAAACTCGCCATGTAGAAGTTATCAAATACTATCCAAATTGTGGATCTGAAAACTGTAATTACTACTTTGTCACGCTATTGGGAATGGCAAGAAGCACAACACAGATCTCTTGTGTGTTGAACAGGAGAGCGAGGTTTATTACCTCAGATCTTTTATAGACAAATATGTGAAAAGTACAGAAAAGGAAACCCTTATTGGTTAGTGAACTAACACATCACCATCATTGTTCAGTGGGATACACCACCCCTCCACCTTCTCTTGCAAGAAAACAAGAAACTGACAACACCTGCAAGGCTGTTTTCTATCTCTGAGGATTGTTTTAATTCCTCCTTATGATTTCCCAGGCCACTTTGTCAGCAAGACCGAGAAATTTATGCGGCCTGCTTTTCCAAAGGCACTGTGCTCCCTGCTTTTGCTCATGTTTAGCATCCATACTACTTCAGTGCATACACAGTAAATATGAAAACTCATGACAGATCAACAGTTCTTTAGATAGAGCACATGCTTAATCTTCTCTCAGCAGTTTCTTAAGGGAGTTATCTACTGATAATGTCGCAGATCCTGGACACACTTTGCCAGTGCAGGAGTAGCAGTTGACAGGATCTGAATTAATTGATCTACATCCCCCCCCAAAAGTGATGAAATCACCAGACCAATTGCTGATTTCAGCACAGTAGCTATGAGTTGCTGAAAGCATGGCACGCACACATACAGAGTGGTTATTCCTCTCTCATAGAAAACATACGCATTTCTCATATACAGGTGTTCAGTGTACTTAGGCAAAGCTAAACAAAACATGCTACCCAGAGGGCTGCAGAGGTGATTTCATAAGAAATGTAATGCTTACTTACTGACCTTGTGAGAGGTCTCCTTACTTATATCAGAGAATCACTCCGTTCAACACTGCCTTACCTTTTGGTCTGGTCACCACAGAGCAAAGCTGAAGTGAATTGAAAAAGGGAAAAAAAAACCCAGTCAACCCAGCAGAACTCAATGCATGCATGCACTAAAGTGTCTTTGGTTAAGCAGAGGATTTGTGTTAGTTCCACACTTTTACACTGATGCTTTTGCAATACCTGAACTAATATAAACACCCTGAGGATCTTTTGATAAAAGGGTCCTTTCACACACAGTATTTAATTATTTTTTTTCCTCAGAACCATCCATTACTTAAATCTGTGACAACTCACACAAATAAAAGGTTTTCTGACTTGTCAGATATTTACACTAGCTGTTTCTCAGTAAATACATCTGATAGAATATTCCAGTCTGATGATTACTGCAAAAAACAACCATTATTGCCTGAAAACCACAGGAGGTGTCATAATCTAGTAAATTCAGTTAAGGGAGACATCTTCCTCCAATCTCTAAAAGTGAAGAGACCCTTGAAAAATCCACACTCATCTATTTCTTATATGCCAACTATGTATTTATTAAAATTCTGAAAGGTAAGAGGTACATTTCTCTACTACCTATCCTTCTTTAGCAAGAATGAGTTATTGTATGAAGTGAACCTTATTTTACACAACAAAATGAAAGTTCTCATGCTCTAGCAGCCCGGCACAAACAACTACTTTCATCAAGGACATTTAATTTCCTAGAGGAAATTAAATTTGATTGAGAAAACAGACAGTGCAGGTAACTCTCTGCAAGCAAGAAAGCAGGACATCCTGGTGTATGCTACTGTGACATGCCAGCAACATACTTCAATGAATACTGCAGTTAGCACTGTTAAGGGGTTAGATCTTCACCCTACTCATTTAAGAGATTAAACAGAAAGAATTTATCCCATGGGAATAGTTTTCTTAACAGAAATATCACTTAATAAAGCAAAATGAAGATAAGAGTGCTTAAGACATGTGGTTTTCTAGCAGATAGGTTTTAAGCACCATCATGGGAAATACAGACAGAAACAAGTATTTAATAAAGGCCATTAGATCAACTTAGAAACAGTGAAAGTAAAGGCAAAATATTTATACAGTGTACAATACTGTGAGATCTTTCTCCTCTTCAGTTTGCTAAACCTCATGTTCTGACTGTAAAGCTTACAGTGACTTCAAGAACTTCAAGGACTGAGGAATAACGGATACACTAAATATCACTCTCTGCTTTCAAATAAAACATCACCTCAAAGTGTAGTAAAATACTGATTAAAAAAAACCCCTGAAAATTAACACTCACCTATCATCAGTTGTTTATGAATTCAACTAGAACACTTACACCATACTAGACAAAAGTGTTTTTATTAGCCCAAGGCATCATGACTGCTTAAAAATCATCAGCGTTACACGGTTACTGGCTTGTCTCACAGAACTTAGCAGAAAAACATCAGCACATTTTGTAAGGTTTACATTTTGTAAAATGCAAAGCACGCTGATGCTCCCCTTCAACCACTAAGGGGAGAGCCATAAAACACATAGCCAGTAGCCAGGAGTGGTTTCAATGTGTCACAGTCAACTACTATTGCTCAACCAAAATTATACAAGTAAGTACCTGCTATACACAGTCAAACTGTTAGTAGCTAAGAGAATGAAAAAAATATTGTTTAGCAATAGCAGCAAAAGGCCAAGCATAAGAATTAAATACCCACTCGCCAAGCATAATTTTACTTTTTTCCTCATCCCCTCCAGCTAACATAACTACACTAATCCAAAGTATAAGCTAATTCTTATGCACAGGCTTTTTCAGCAGAAGTATCACTGCAGCAAGTTTCACCCGGCTGTAGCAATACACTGTCATCTGCCTAAGAAGCATGTAGGAATTTTTAACTTTGTGGAATACATTACCCTTACAATCCTCCTCAACTACACTACCTCAATAGCGTTACAAGAGCTAAAAATTTAGCGTTTCTTTTAGCTTGCTTTAGTAAAGTTACCTGAACTGGAGAATGCAGAATTATCTGAGCTCAGCAACACTGCGACTTATAGTCTATTAAAATTATCCCAATTACAATCGCCTTACGGCAGCACTAAAGGGCAAAGAAGGGAAAACACAGAGGTATTTCCTTACACGAATCCAAGAGTCCGGCACACAGTCCCAAACCAGGTCAAGTCCAAAACAAGTTTCCCAAGTAAAAACACTGACAACATAGAAACACACTCACTTAAGGCTAGAAGAGTCCTGTCACGCTTCAGTTTAAAAGCACATATGTTCAAAAAACAATCTTATAACATTTTACGTAACTTAGAAGCCCGTGAGGAGGGAATAGTTCAGTGTATATAAATATTCTTTAAAAATTGTAAAGTATCTCCTCAGAATGGTACAGAACGTGTCGTACAGCGGATCCCCTCTAGTATTATCCAGCCTCTACTGCCACGAATCCTAAATATACGTTTTAAGACCTTATCTTGATGTGAAGCCTTTACAACACCGTCATCCATATTCAGCGTGACAGTTCATAGGACCTTAACAGGGCCTAAATTAAAGCATTACAGACTCCAGTTTTTCATTAAAACCTGCGCTCACGCAGCCAAGAAAAAAGTCCCCCAGCTGTAAAAATCATACATTAGCAATAAACATTTTTAGGTACGAAATAAACAACCATGGACACTGCAGAACGAAGCAAGCGAAGCTCCGCCAAAGGAGAAAACCGGTCCCGTTTCGCGGGGTGCGGAACGACCCAAAAATCCGTTCGAAACGAGCGGCCGTGCCCGCAGGATCGCAGCGGGCAGAGGGCCGCGAGCAGCGGCGGGACCGGACGGCTGCCGGCCCTGCCCCTCGGCCCAACGGCTCCGCCGCTCCGCCGGCCCGGCACCGGCCGGCGAGCTGCCCCTCGCCGCTCCCGCTGCCGCCCCGCCAGACACCAAGGCGGCTCCCCCGGAAACGGCGCTCGCATTATTGTATGTGACAACACCCAGCGGCCGCGCACCGCGGGAGCCTCTCCCCAGGGCACCGTCGCGTTCAGGCGGGAAGAAAGCCCGGGCCCCCCCTCCTCAGCTCAGGGCAGCGTCGCCGCCACAGCCACCGCCCGCTCCTCAGCCCGCCCGGGCACCAGCCGGGAAGGCAAAGCACCCCCAAAGCGCAGTGCGTCGCGAGTAGGCGGCGCTGCCGCAGCTCCGGGCCCATCCCGCGCGCTTCCCGCACTCACCGATCGTCGTCGCTGCCTCAGTCCCGGCCCGATAGCGCTCCCGGCTGCCCCCGCAGCGCAGCCGCCGCTCCCACGCGCGCACCCGCGGCTCCAAACCAAATGACGCGAGAACTACGCGCTGCCTCCCCCCGCGCGCTGCCCTCCCTTCTCCCCACGTGACTTTCCCAGCCCTATCCGCAGCGTCTCCAAGCGCTCGCGCCTCTCGTGGAAACATCGCGATCTCACCACCCCCCTGCAGGGCGGCCCGGAGGCCCCGCGGGGCCGGCTGGGCGGGGCCGAGAGAAACGCCGCGAGGCTTCTCCGCCGTTCTCCGGCGCCCTCAATGAAATCCCGCTCGAGATCTCGCGAGGTTTCGGCGCGCTCCCCCCGAGCACGATGCCGCGCAGGAATGTGAAAGGCGCGCGCCCGCCGCCATTTTCTCTCTTTCTTGGCAGACAGCGGCAGCGGCCGGAGCGGCGCCGGGGCGGCCATGGCGGACTATTCCACGGTGCCCCCTCCTGCCGCGGGCGCGCCCGGGGGAGGTGGCGGCGGGGCTGGAGGAGTGAACGATGCCTTTAAAGACGCGCTGCAGAGAGCTAGGCAGGTGTGTGTCCGTGTGTGTGTGTGCGTGCCTCTATCGAATCAATGGGGTCCTGGGGCCTGGAGGCCGTGGTCTCGGAGCCACGGGAACAGTGAGGGCGCTGCGCACTCGGCAGTGGGGAGTGGGGGGCCCTCCGCCAGTGTGCGTGTATTGCGGGGAGCTTTGTCCCTTCCCCACGCCCCCTTTGCGCCACTTGCCCGCCCTGGGCCGCGAGGTATTTGTGGCCAAACTCCGCCATCGGCCGCGAATGGGATCGGCCCGAGGGGATTCGGCGGTGAGAGGAGTGACACCGCGGGGTCTTTCCCGGAGGGCGGGGAGGCGAAATCTCGGCGGGCGAGTAGCGGCGCGTTATCGGGCCCGGCCCGGCGGAGGGACAGCAGGGCGGCGGCTCCGCGGCGCGGGCCGTGTTGTGGCGCCTGCGGCGCCCGCAGCCTGCTCGGACCGGTTGGGCAGCGCCGCGGCCTGCGGAGCGAGGGCGGCCCTTGCGGAAGCTCTTTATCCCGCAGTTTTATTTGTAGCTGCTGCACCACGGGCGATGTTTTCATCGTTTCTCAGGCGAAACGTTCGCCTTGTCTGTTAATAAGCGGTCGCGGTTTTGGCAGCATTTGAAGGCCCAGTATAGGCGGGTGTTGAAATTGACCGCTGAGGCCCTACCGTGAGATACCACATTGTTTCGCGAAGAGCGCGTAGAGAAAGAAAATCCCTGTTTAGGAAAAAGGTTTTGGTGTTTAAAGGCCAAGTTCTCGTTGGGTTTTTTTTTCAGTAGGCGAGGAATATTTAGGAGGCTCTACTGTTGAAGGATTAGCACAAGTCTCTAAAACATTGAAGAAAACCTTTATGAGCAAAACTCATGGTTTTGTCCTTTTATTTAATTCTTTGGGGTCGTTTTAATGCGTATTGTTTAAATCCCTGATATCTTTTAGAGTGGAATAAACATGGGCAGAATTGATTATTCTTTATCTTGGCTCATAAATACCTTTTGTTTAGATTGCAGCGAAAATTGGAGGAGATGCTGGCACAGCAATGAATTCAAACGACTACGGTTATGGAGGGCAGAAAAGACCTCTTGAGGATGGAGGTACGCACTCGTTCCTGCTGCATTTATTTTTGTGGAGTATGGCCACTGCGCCATAAAGGTTGCAGGTGGTGTTTTTGTTTGTGGATTCATTTTTTTTTCCCATAGCAGAGCACTAAAACATTTTGTTCCCCTCATAGATCACGACATATTTTTTCATTTTCAGTTTAGTGGGAAAGTTTTAAAGTGTTGTGCTCTAACCTGAGGTGAATGTAAGCCTATTTGACGGTATTTTAAATGTGGTTTAAGTGCTACAAATAGAAAAATGCATGCTGGGGAAAATTATAGAAATATTCAGGTTGCAAAATGCTTATGCAGGTGTCATTTAAGTCTTTTCTGGTTTCGTGGGATTGGTTACAACTCGTACATTACAATTAGAGCAGGAAGTGCTCCTGAAGCTGGATTGTTTTGGTAACTTTATTACTGCACTATCTCTAATAAAAGTATTTATGTGTTTCATTGTAAAAGCATAGGACTTTAAAAAAAAACACAGGAAAGTAAATTTTCTACATTGAGGACACCTTTTTGTCGTCTCATAATTCAGCCTATAGCATGTGGGAGCCCTGATAAGATCATACTTAAGTCTTGACTTGTTGCAGCTTTTTGGATTTGCCTTACACTGCAGTAAAGCTTTCTCCTGAAATGCGTGTGTGTTGTCTTCTTTCTCTTATGGAGTACCCGCATTGAACTTAACAGGGTTTGGTATGGTTAATATACACACAAAATCCTAGCTAAATTACAGGAAGAAATCTTTGAGCTTGCTGAAATGTTGTCATAGGTCTCACAAAAGAGAAATGTCTTTTTTTTCCTTTAAGAGGATTGAAACTCAGTCTACAAGATGTAACTAAGGCTTTATAGCAGGAATTCTTGTGTCCTACAATAAAGGTTTTTTTTCTATTTAAGGTGAGGTTTTTAATATACAAAAATGAGCTAATGATGCTTCAGATGATATATGTAATGTATTCTTTTTATTTTATGTGTAGATGGCTCTTGGACAAGTCCGAGCAGTACAACACACTGGGAGGGAATGCCCTCTCCTTTTAAAGGCAGGAATTTTTATTTATTACCTGTGTTTAGTATGTAAACATGACATAAACTAGTGGATCTTTTCTGGATTGACACAAATATTTCTTGCAATATGTGACTGAGTTTTTGCTGCACATAAATTATGGTGGTTCATATAGCCTTTATTTTGGGGTGGGAAGGAAGCATCTGAAGTATTACTTTTTCAGATATAGGTTCATTATGCCTTTTATTTCTACTGTACAGAAAGGATTTGGACAGAAGTGATGTAGTTGCTTTGAATCTGCTCTTTTTTTTTTTTTAAGTTTTATCTTATGAAATGCTTGATATTTGGATAGGGATTTCATATCAACATTCAGATTGAGATTGCATTGCCATATGATACTGTTGTATTTTCAGATGTTTGGTCTAGTTTGTGGTCATTGTCAGAATTAATTTTTTTAACTATTGTTGATTTTTGTATGGATTTGATTTTTTTTTTCTTTTTTACTATAGAAGCATCATTAGCTTGAGCAGCCAACAAAGCTCAACTTTGTTCCTTGTCTTAGTTGAGTTTCAGTGACTGGGTATCTACATACAGTGCGTTCTGAAAGCTGCCTTTTGTTAAACTGAATAGATACATGGAAAAACCTAACATCTTTTCAGCTATACTAACCAAGTGCTGAGTGTTCGTGAGATTCTTTCTTTTATTCAGATGATCAACTCCCTGAAATTGGAGGAGAAAAAAGAAAGAAAGGAAAAAAAAGGGGGCTAAAATACACTGGAAATTTACAATTCACACTAAAAAGGTTTAAACACTTCCTGAATTTCTTGGCAAAAAAAATTTAAAAAATCTTAATTTTGCAGATCAACCAGATGCTAAGAAAGTTGCTCCCCAGAATGACTGTAAGTAATTTTTATTTTGTTGCCAAAAAAACTAAACAAGTGTAACATTGTCAGAACAACAGTTTGAAAGTGTTCTGGTAGGTGACACTTGAATAAGTAAGATACAAAAAATGGCTGGGGGTTCATGTCTTAATTTGTTGAAGCAGTGGGAGTCTGCTTGGTAAAACTGACAGTGGTGGTAGCAACAGTTCAGAGTCTTTATCATTTTTAAACCTTTTGATAACACTTCTTAAAAGTGAGCTTGGACAAAAATTTGATACAGTTGAGTTTTGTTATCAAAGGAGAAGCTTAGTTGTAAACTATTCTACTTGTTTGAATTTAATTTTAACAATGTTTGTTTATAGCTTTTGGAAATCAGCTACCACCGATGCATCAGCAGCAAAGGTAAGAGTTACACTACATCTTACATAAAATTTTTACTGAAATAGTTTCAAGCGGATTTTCTGGAAAAGTGGTATCAACACATGAAGCATTTTTTCCTGTCTTAGTGTGATCTGTTGAAATTTAGCCTTTAGCAAGTCCCAAGTTATACACTTATCATCTACCTACGTTGCTCTCTCTTTCTTTCTCCGTAGTCTGGGCTGTGGATAGAGTTTAATAAAAAGAAAACATGTTGCCTGGTTTTTACTACTTCAGCAGGTAGCATTGCTAGAAGCTGGAACCAAATACGAAGAAAAAAGGAGTGATGCCATCTTGTAAACAAAAAGCAAAGTTGAATGACCTAAAAACAAAATAATTCCGAGTATTATTTTATTACATTTGTTACAACTTCATTGTTCTCTTCACTCATTTCTTGCCTAAACAAACAGATCCAGCTACTACTCTTATGCTTTGGACAGTTCTGACATACCAAAATTTCCAGCATGCTTTGATAGATATGCAGATGAAACTTAAAATGCTAGAGTAGCCTTTTCTGTACTGCACATCTGTTAATAAAGAGGATGAAGGAAAACTTTCAACTGATTTGTATGACACTTGAACCTTTTGTGTCGTTTCTGTGTGTTGTCAGCTTATGTATAACACTGCTTGCATAATGACTTTTAAACTTAATGGGAGGCAAGTAAGCCAGGGTGATTGTGGGGCAGTAGCTTGCTTTAGTTTAATGGGAGGATATATGGTTTGGTCTCTGGATGGTCATGTCTTTTTTTTAACTTTGGCTCTAGGTCTGTGATGACAGAGGAGTACAAAGTTCCAGATGGGATGGTTGGATTCAGTAAGTAGTATGAGTGTGCTCTTGTGGTATAGTGGGGGATGTTAGCAGATGCTGTTAATACAAATAATCTTTCTGTATTTTTTTCCTCCAAGTAATTGGCAGAGGTGGAGAACAGATCTCACGCATACAGCAGGAGTCTGGCTGTAAAATACAGATTGCACCTGGTAACTATTTGTGGGGGGGTTTAACTTGTCAGGGGGGAATGGGGGGTGGTTGGTAGGAAGTCTAGAAGATTATTCGTTGCTTCTCATTGCCTGAGCCTTCATTTAAGATATAGGTTCATTTTTTTGTGCTAATCATGACTATGATGGGCTAAAGCAATGCAATTGTTATACTGATTATTCTGTTTCATTGGATATGAAAA